AAAAAAAAAAAAAAAAAGAATAAAAAAGAAAAAATAAATACCTAAGAATATGACCACAAAATTGAGATAGATAAAACTGGCCTTCTAAAGGACCAGAGAGAAAATATTGATGGCTTAGTTTTATATAAAATTAAGAACTACTGATCATCAGTGCCACCCTGTTAAAAATGAAAAGCAAACCTTAAGGAATATGTAAGCAATAATCGTATTTGGAAAATCACCCCATTTGAAATACCTAAAGAATTTTTTATAAGCTCTTTCTTTCTCTCATGCTCCAACCTGGGGAAAAGGTGAAGAAAAAAGTAGGATGTCACTTCACAAACTAGGTTGTATAAATAGCCTCATAATCTAGACATTTTAAGATGCTATAAAACATACACTTGAAAAAGAAATGAATATCTGAATATGTTCTGAATAACTAAGTTGTAGAATACTATTAATTGTGTTAGGTGTGATCATGACATATAGTAATGTAGAAGAACACCCTCAGGTTTTAGAGTTTTAGGAGGAAGAGTGAGGCACACACCCTTTACTCTGAAATAGTGCAATGGACTGATGGATAGGTGACAGACTGATAAATAATCCATATGTGCAGTCACATTTGTAAGTATATCTGGGTGTATGAATATATAAGTAGGCAAGATGAGTATGGAAAATAATGCTTCTACCTAGATGGGAGAATAGAAAGATGTTCATTCTTTCCCTTATGTCTTATGATTGAAATTCTTCAAGTAAAAAGGTAAGTTCAATAAGAACTGAAAGCTGGAAAGAAAATGGAAGGCCCCACTCTGCAGTTCTGCAGTTTCTGTCCAGTTGGCAGGAGGTTGGGAGCTCTGTGCTTTCCGGAGATGACAGAGCCCACACTGTGTGGATTTCAGCAACACTGAGGGGCTAATCGGTGTGATTAGGACTGGCTGTTCAGACACTGTAGAAGGTGACAGCCCAGCAGCCCAACAGTCTGAGACCCTGCTTTACCCTCCTTCATGACCTCTAGGGACCATAAGTGCTTCTATCTGCTACTTAGATATCCTCAGACTTTTACAATCTGTATACACTAGGAACAGTGTCTTGCATAAACTTCACTGCCCTGATCCCAGAGCATGACTTCACAGGAAGCATCAGGCTGGGTTAATAGCACATAGAGAATCTGAACCAAATTTAGACGCCACCGTAGACTGAGATGCATGCAAAACTCAGAGCCTAGGAGAGAACCATGAAGAACTGAAGCTTGAGGTCTTCATGCTCCAAGAAGGAATCGCTACACAAATCAAGGACCTCTTGAGCAGGAGAGCTAGCCCCTCTTCCCCACAGGGGCCCTCTCTTCAAGTGAGACTTAAGACATCCCTCCCACCTAACCGGCTCCCCACCTAACCGGCTCCCCTGATCCCAGATTTGCCCGCTGAAGACCTGTGTGGCCTGCAGCTCCTCGGCTTCTGTACCATGCCTGGGAGCTTCCAGGAGACCCACCACATCTGGGTTTCCCATCTACCTTCAGATCTAGCTTCTGCAGATATCCACAGAGTTTCTACAAAGTTAATTTAAACTTCTAAGTGATCAGATATTTCAAATTTCAAAACGGCATCAAGAAACTTGGCGATTTGTGTATTCCCTTCAAAATGTATTTTTAATGATCTGTCTTGCAGTCAGTTGAAGAAACTACAGGACAGATTTAAGTTTAGCTCGAAGCATTTCTTCATTAAACTGTGGTTTTAGTTTAATATACATGTTATTAGTGTATGGATACTGAAAGTGAATGGTTTGCATGTTAGTGTTCTATCTCCGTCATATAAACAGGTTTTCATTTCGGCTTGTACTCATTACGAATGAATAATAATTAAAATAGTATTGATAATATTTTAGGTAGAAATCTATGAGACACTTTAAACTACCAAGATGATTATGGTTTGTTTGACCAAAGACAATTAGAAAATTTACTTGATTTCCTCTTTAATAGCGACTTTTTTAAAGATAAAAGATAAAAAGAGCATTTATCATAATAGCAGGATTCATTTCAAATGTTCTGTTTAGAGGGAATTTCATAGAATTAAAATTTGATAATGGGAATTTAGAGTAAAGTGAATTCCCCTATGTCATCCTTCAGAAGTTACTAATTGAACAATAAACTCATAATAAATAAAGAAGTTATGAGGAGGGGATACAAAAAACACAATCAACTAATTAAAAGTACTTCCCAAAACAAACAAACAAACAAAAGACAAATCCGTAGCATGCTGCTCAGCTTCTTTTTTTTTTTTTTTAATTTTTTTTTTATTT